AGCATTTTCCCATACAATGAAACACGATCTTGTCATTAAAGCCATAAAGACATTGTCCTCAAAAAATCATTTGCTTTTTCAAATTCATTAAAATATATAAGGAAATAAGTAAACAAAGAATCACAAATTAGCATGATTTTAAAATATGTTAAATAAGTCACCTAATATACTTAAAACAGCTTGCTACCTCAGGCTGTTCCTAAATGTCTGCCTTGGCCTCCAAGACACAGACACACCCACTCATCTTCCTTCCCCATATGCACTGCCACCTCGACTCTTTAAGTATCAGCTTAAATGTTACTTTTCCATATACCCCAAAGACAAGGTATGAATCCTGTATTATAAATGCTCATTACACATTGCATTTTTCCTTGGTAATAATGATGACAACTCTTTCAGTAAATCATCATTCTGTTTAATATTTATTTCCACAGGAAAACTATAAGCTCCATGAAGGTAAGGACCATTTGTCATTCATTCTTACTGTTCCCTACATTCAAAACTCTGCCTCAATTAAAGACCCATTTGTGTCAAATACATGAAGAATTATAACACAAGAAAAACAAAATGGATTCCAAAACAAATGAGATTCTTGATTTCACTCCATGAAAGATACAATCTTACAGATCGGGCATCAGACAATCAAACTGAGTCAAAATTACCTCATTGTACTGGCCATAACAAGTCAATGGTGCTCAAACATTTATTGAGCACTTAGGTAATATGTTCCAGGCATTACATATGGAGTAAGACAAATCATCTACCAAAAAAGCAAATCAAAGAAAATCAATTTCAACCTTCCACTGTTTTAAAATCTTAAATAATAATAAAAGGCACAGGAGGAAACATTTACCTTTCTGATTATTTAAATTCCCTAATCAACTGTGCATTAATTACTGGAAATCTGAATATAGAGGCACTAGGTACAAAAAGGCAGAGGCTGATGTCTGAACATGCAAAAGTGCTGAGTAGGGTACAGGGTGAGAAAAAGAAGCTCAAAATAGGAAGTGGCATCAGCCTACTGTTTAATATTACAATTAATATGGTATTAGAAGAAATAGAATTCTACTTATACAGTAGCATGTTGCTCCAATGTAAGGCTGATATAGAACTATAAATGGACTTGTTCAATTAACCATTATTACAAGTTCACAAATGAACTTTCAAATTTAATAATCAGTTATAAGCTCCTCCCAAGCAAATCTCATCCTTGGTATAGTCAGAGGTACTAGTGCATAGTAAATGCAAACACCTGCTGATTGATCTGCTCATCAGGTGCACTAAGCTTTAAAGACCACACAATAAATCTATACCTCAGTTGGACATCTTATCTGTCTTTTTTTTAAAGGGGGTGGTGGTTAGACAACATTTAAAAAAATCCACTACCATTAAATTCCAAACTCAAAGCACATGCTCCCAGTCAAAAATGACTACATGGATTACAATGTATATATTCCTTTATTAAACTTTGGTTCTGACTTTTTATTTATAGAATGAATGACCTAACTACATGGAAAATTTTTTCAGGTTTTTATCCTTCCACCTATGATATAATCAAAACATGTATCTTTAATTTCTAAACATGGTCATGGTCATGAGTAGCTTATTTAGCTCATTCGAAATGAAAGTTCTATATTGCAGTATTCTCCACTAAATAGACAAATGACACTGTCATAGACTTACATCAAAAATTGAAATGATATTAATAAATATTTAATACTCAGACCAGAACCCAACTGAGTTGATACTCAGATAAAAATAACCCATCCAAATGGCAGAACTCAGTTTATTAAAATGGGCAGCATGGCATGTGGGAGTGGGCTTCCAAGAAGTCTCAGTTCTGTGACCTTGAAGCAGCTACTCAACTCTGAAAACAATCTAGAACTCTGCAAAGGTTGGTTACAATTGTGTGTATCTAACAGGATATAAACATGCTGTTCTCAGAAAACAGGTGTACTTCCATTCCACATTAACATACACAAAGCTTTATGTATATTTTTATGAGGTCATTTAAATTTACAAAGCTTATTAAATGCAAACATATAAAGAACTATCTAATGCTAACATTACCCACTCTTTTAAACAAAGACTTTTTTTGTAAAAGATTTTCACAGACTGAGTTTTAACCAAGGTATGCTTGTATCTAGCTACCTACGATACATTAATAGAAGCAACTAGTTCCAGGGCAATCTCACCTACTTCATTACACCAAATTTGAAATTAAATTTTATTTTATATAGCCTTTCACATAAGACTTTGATGTCAAAGAATTCTACAAATACAATGCCATTCCATAGCAACTCCTTTTATCAAAATAAGCAGTCTTAGGAACTCAGTTAAAAGATTTATTCAAAATTAAACAGAATAGCATAGGGTTTATCCGATTAAAATAGTCACATTTTAGAAACATGTTATATCAAACAGTAAACACATTAACCAATGCCTATTTTGATGACCTCAAAGTACCTCTCTAACTATAAAAAGTATCTTAAAATATTAACAATCACTTGTATAGTATTGCTATTTTATGGTATACTTTATTAGGACACTTAAAAAAAAGGAAAACCTCCCAATAGTAAACATGGAGAAATACTGGATTGAAATTAAATACCTAGTACACTTGGAATACATAAAAGTTTGTCTATATCCAAAACTTCACTTCCAACATTTGCAAAACTCCACCCACTAACATCTCCAGAATCCAAAAACAAAATAAAAAAAAAGCTTATGTCACCGCATTAAAGTACCAGGTAAAAACAAACTGGCTATCTAAAAAGTTAGCAAAACACCATGTTATCCCCAATTAAACTTCTGTGGTGAGAAACAGTGACTAAGCATAAAGAAGTGTGATTCAGCGAAAACTGCATATTGAAATCTAACCCTCAGAAAAATCCTAAAGGCGTATTTTATACTACTCTTTTCCTTTTACCTGGACTGCTTTGGAAAACCTTAATATGAGCAAATGCAAAGCCTGCTAATATAATTTAATAAGTTTCCGAAGGAAATAACACAGTATTGAAATTTAGCAAATAGAAATTAAAAATTAGTTTCGATTTTTGTTATTAAAAGGGTTTCAAGTTAATCTACACTGATATCAGAATGCCCATAAATAACTTCATCTTGGATCAGAGTCAATAACGTAATCATGGAATAAAAGGTCAATTCGTTCCCAAGCATCTTCTATCTGGGACTTAACGGCAGAAAGAAAAACAAGAGAAAGGGAGAGGGAAACAGAGTACTAGAACCATGGTAAACACACATACTGTTCCGCCTGTCTGCCTCTAGACTCCCAAACACACACGTTAAAAACATTCACAAGAGATTACTTTGAATCTAGCATGCGCTCTCCGTATCCCTTCCAAGCAATGTACTTCCAAGGAGCAGGGCACAAATAACACAACCGCTCAGGTCTGAAAAATCAGGAAGTTTCCCTTTAACAAGGACTGAGGCTAAGACTAATCCTCACACTTCCATGAATGGAAAAGTTACCAACTTCGCTCACCCCGTGGAGATAGTTGCTGATTCCTCCAGGTCTTACTTTAACCCGTTTGTCCCCAAAGAACCCAAGTTTCTAAAAGCCAAACGGAACGAGAAGCTGGGTTTCTTTCAAGATTTTTAGGGTTTCCTAAGTTTAACTCCTCCCTCGTCCCTTCCCAACGCACAGACACGCAAACTGGGGTAACACGGGGGTCGGTGCCCTCGGGGTGTGGGTCGCCATTTGCTGACCGCCTCAACGGATGGCCGGGCGGGAGGCCGGGCGCGAACACCGGCGCCGCGGACGCCCTCTCTGCTCGCCTGGACGACCGCCCCGGGACACGCACGGGCCCGGCCCGCGGCAGTGTTTCCTCCGCTCCAGGCCCGGCCCGCCGACCCCACGGCCGCCGCCGGCGTCTCCGCCCCGCCGCGGGCCTCGCACGGCCTCCCCTGCGGGCCTCCCGACACTCACCGGCCGGCGCGGCCGAACTGCGGCCCAGGCCCTGGCTGCCGTAGCCGCCGTGCCCGGCTGCCCCGCTGTGTCCCGGCGACGCTCCGAGCCCCACACCCCCGTCCGGTCCGCCTCCTCCGCGCCTCTCCCCCCGCCGGGCCGCCGCCTTTTCTCTTCTCCTCTGCCTCCCGCAGACGCGGCCGCCCTCCCCCCGCGCCCCGCCCCGCTCTGCCCCGCCCACCCGGCCGGCTTCGGCCGCAAGCCCGGCGGAGGCGCGCACGCAGGGCCCGGCGGGGACGTGCACGCCGCCCTCTGACCCCGCAGCGACGTGGCAGAGTAGGGTCGGGAGAGCCCCAGGCTTTGGCGCGTAGTGCTGGGGGGGTTCCCGGGGCACCTCAGAGAGCTCCGCTGTGGCGGTGCTACCAAATCCTGTTTAGCTTTAGAATCTTGTATTCCTGGAAGGAATCCTGACCCCTGATTTTACGGTTGAGGAAACAGGCCCGAGTAGAACTTGTTCGCCTGGCCAGTAGTGGGAGAAGCAGCCGAGATCTCTTGACTCCAGGGCGGTGCTCCTCCCATTAGCTCTCATTTGGAGGCAGTGGGTCAGCTCTCGCTGAACCTTTGATGATGGCCGCCACTCTTCAGGCCTTCCCGCCGGCTAACTCAACGTACCCAACCAAGTCCTGTGACTTCGTGCCAGGACCGTGCTGTGACCCTTGTAGGGTTCTGGCTCCCCGGGTCCGGGCACAGCCCTGCATTGAGGCGGGCGGCAGAGCCTTTCTGGAGCCCTGACGGGGCAGCCCACCGAGGTCTGCTTCTGTGAGGGACTGAGGCATCCTCCGCGAAGGTAATTTGGCTGGAAAGGGGGCTTGACGCTGTTTTTGCAAGATACTTTACGTATGATACCACATGGTCATATCAAAGAATGGGTATCTACGCCCTCCGCTGTTACCACCAAGCCCTGGTGTAAAGTCAAGGGACGGAGGGGACAGTGACTCAGTGCGGGGTGGTGGGAGTCCCTTACCCCGCCCCCACCCCGGTATCCATTCCGGGACTCCTGCCCACTCCTGTCTCAAAAGAACTGTAACAAAGAGACTATGGCTGTAATCCTGGCAGTGGGGGTGGAGACAGAGGCAGGAAAACCCTATTTTGTCATTCTTTCTGCGGCTACATTTTTTACCCCTTATTGTGCCTTGGAAAAGACAGCTAACACATAGTTTGCTATCCTGCAGAGGAATGACTGTCAGACATTTGGCTTTTAAAGACCAGTAAATTAAAAAAAAAAAAACTGATGAGTTTTTAAAATTGCCTGTTTTGCTTATTTTGCCCAATTTGGCTGCAGACAGGTCCTGGTCCTCAGTTTGAGAGCTACTGTCCAGAGAGCTAGACAGGATGGTGAAGCAAACAGGGTGACCTGGGGGGAGAAGACGAGGGTTCTGCTACACTATTGCTCCACTTCGTGCTCACTGTCCTGGGCTGAGTCACACACCCTTCTTTTGCTTCAGTTGCCCTCCTATAAAATAATGGGGCTAGAATAGATTATCTCCAAAGCCCTTTCCAGCTTTAAAATCCCATGATTCCATGATTGTACTTACTGAAATCTGGGGCTTTCCCCTTTGCTAAGTCACCTAGCTGACACTAGGTCACCTCTCCCACCTCAAGCTGAGTCATTCAGGCTGGAAACCTCACCATCTTCTTCCTCCCTCCATCGCAATAATTTTCCATGTTCAGACCCCATCCCTAAGAAAAAATCCTTTCTTCCTGTCTTTCACATTCATCCTTAGTTACCCTCTTAAATAAATTTGGATTTCTGCTTTTGCCTAACCAGTCTTTCTTCTCCAGTGTTTCCTACCTCAAATACACCATCAACACAGTTCTACCCATTTCATCTTGTTATTTTTCTATTTAAATAGAAATAATGGGATGGTGTCTTAGTACATTTATGCTGCTATAAAAAATACCACAGACTGGGTAACTTATTTATGTGTCTATTTAAACTTTTTAATTTTTACTTACAGGTACATAATAGTT